CCGGGCGCCCAGAACCGAGGCCCGCGTCAGTCACCTCAGGACGCTCCGCTGGCTCCTCACAAGCGCTTGCCGCCACCGCCCTCGGAGCCCCGCGCGCCTCGCACTGCCTGACGGGAGCGCCTGGACGCGCGCACGCGTGCAAAGGCTGAGGCGGGGATCGCGGGAGGGCTGACTGCGCAGGCGTGGTATCAAAAGAGGCGGAGTCAGCGAGGCTGGACTATGGAGTGGAGCTGAGCAGGCGGTGCTCCGCCCCCGGCTGCGGCGGGCTTCAAGCCTCCTAGGCGGGGCGCGGGCAGGGAGAGGCGGGGCCTGGGCCGGCAGAGCGGGGCGGGGCCAGGGCAGGGGGCGGGGCCTGGGCAGGGGCGGGGCCTGGGCAAGGAGTAGGGTGCTGAGAGCGGTGGGGTGGCCTCTGGGGAGCCGCAGCCACCGGCCTGCTCTCAACGCAGCCATCAGTTGCGCTTCAGGCCTGCCCTGCCCCGTACCTCAATCCGGACCTCTGAAGGCGCTTTTGAGGCGTACAGAAGAGCAGCACCTGTTGGTGGCTGGGAGACAGGCTGCAGCCCGGCGGTCTGGCCCACTGGGCCGGGATGACAGCGCTCTCCCCCGAGGGGGCCTGGTCTCCATGTCCACAGCGGGGCCGGAGCAGTGCCTGGCACATCTGAAGAGTTAGGGGTTGTTTGCTGAGACTCTTTTACAATGAACTTTATTTTGCAAAAGCACTTAATTCCCAATCCCTCACCTGACCACTGTGTGAAAGCTGGCTTCCTCCACAATCTTATTTTCCAAATGTTAGAAATAAGCTCATATAAGCAGAGCGGCCTGAGTTAAACACAACGATGCATTTAACTCAGGGAGGATGGTGCACTGCTTCCAAAGAGGACGGCCGCCGGTGAAAGACCACTGGAAGGGGACTGCTGAATTTCATGTGCACCTGGCTGATGCCCGGCAGCCCAGTGAGACCGGACCTCTCTATTGGACGGAATTGGTTTGGATCTTACCCAACAAAAACGCTTTGCCACTCCTCAGTCTTCCACAGGTTCTCCGGAGCTTTGGTCATGGGTAAATATAATAGCACTCCCTCCCTTCAGCATCAAATGACCCTAAAGGCGGCTTGTTAGACAAACGACAGAAGTCGTTTGGATAGTTTTTCTTAGTATTTCGAAGGAGAGAAATAAGAATGTTCTAAGGCATATATTGTCATCTAATCGAGTCAAACATTTTTCCTGTTCATTCTTCTCTTGTTTTCCTTTTTTATCCTCCTCTTTTAAAAGTCAGTGAGGCATAAAATGTTCTGAAAAACAAACATGGCAAGGGAAAGAGTTCACAGAGTGGTGCCCAATCTGCAGGCAGGAGGACCCAGGGCACTGGAGTGGGGAGGCCTGGTGGGAGGACCCCTGCAGCCCAGGCTGGAGGTCGGGGTGGGCATCATGGGACACAGTTGAGCCAGTTTGGACAGGAGGAAGTGGGAGCTGTGCAGGCAATGCCTCCCAGAAATGTTGCTGATGAGGCAAAGTCTGAGTGGGAGGAGCGTGACAGAGACGACAGAGAGACAAAGAGAGAAACAGAGAGACACAAAGAGAGACAGACAGAGACAGAGTGACAGAGAGATAGAGACAGAGAGACAGAGAGAGAAACAGAGAGACACAGAGACAGAGACAGAGACAAACAGAGACAGAGAGACAGAGACAGAGAGACACAGAGAGAGCATGCAGAATGACACAAGCTGAGGGGTGGGAATGCAGGGCTGAGAGGAGGATTTTTTATTTTGTTTTGTTTTAAAATGGGAGGAACTTGATATTTATAGACTGCAAGGAGGAACTCTGAGGAGACAGCATGGAAGATGCCAGAAAGACAAGGGGCTCCTTTACAGAAAGAGATCCCTGGAGGGCAGGAGGGGTGCACTGCAGAGCCCTGGAGGCTGCTCTAGAAACCCACTTTCCCAGTGACTCCTGGGGGGTTTCTTGGGCCACAAATTAATTCTCCATGTGATTTGGAATTGCCAACCATAGCTATTTGTTGGAAGGGTGTTTAGGGGACCACAAAAGCCATAAAAACATGAAGTAAAAATTGCAATAGTATCAGCCCCAGAGTACAAATGACAAGCACAATAGGTTTAACTATGCAGACATGGAAAGTTTTCTTCACCTTGCCTTGGGAATTTAAGCAAGCAAGTATGTTACACTTATTTCTAGGATCAACTTTCTTTTCAGCAGTCAAAATCATTTGGGGTTTCAGTAGGGTCAAAAGATAACTGGGGCCCAGGAATTAATCCTCCCTGAGAAAGCTCATGAGGATATCATGGACTAAACAGACCTCAGGACAGAGCTGTGAGGATCAAGTGTTTTGCTGTTCGCTTTTTCTCCTTCCTGTGGAAGCGGTTTTCTCCTGGTAATATTAAAAAATATTTTATGTTTTGGACAATATCTTTTCAGTCTATTTTTAAACTTTAGAAGTAATAGTCAGATGTTAAAGACGATTTGTTTTAGATATGTTTTCCATGAATTTTGTGGGACTCTATTCTGCAAGCAATGGAGAATGGGGGCTGTTTTGAAGCAGGAGAGTGAATTCTCAGATGTGTGTTAGAAGCATAATTCTGCAAAACCAAAAATTACAAAAGGTGGCAAGAGATAAGATACAGGACCACTCTTGCAGCATGCGGGTGAGGAGGAGATAGGTGGGCACAGAGAGCTGCAGGAGCCGGCAGAGCGTGCGGCCTGATGACTCGCAAGATGGTGACGGAGACTCTGGGGCTTCTAGCTGAGCAGAGAGTGGCATTGCTTCCTGTTCTTCCTACTAATCCTTCCTATTAAGTAGAAGATGGTAGGGTTGGGAAAGAGTTTATTTTTCATCCTGTTGACATACATGTGACAAAGGTGAGAACTCAGTCCCCTAAATCAAGAGCAGGTTTGGGTCAGCATAAGCCCAAAGGAGGTGACAGAGTTCATTCACCAAGGTGGCCACGTGGAGAGGGCCTTCAGAGTGGGGAGGAATGGGGGCCACAAGGGCTGGCAGCGGAGCCTGGGATTGATGGTGTGTCAGAAAGGGCCTCAGGACAAGAGAAGGGGTTGTGAGCTCCTAAGGTTCAGCAGGCCAGTGGCATAACCGTTGTCATTCTGGAAGGATCCCCATGAGGCTGGTGTGTGCGGGGCTGACCTGGCCAGGGACTAGGAGAGGAGGAAGGAGCAATGTGAGAAGGCCCTGTGGCGATTAGCCCAGATGATTCCAGCACCTAATTTGAGTGGCCATAATCCCAGCAAAAATGTGGTAGGAAGGGATACGGGGGCTCAGGGCCCACTTCCCGGAGGAGGCTTGCTTGAGCTGGTGAATGCAGGGGGTGGATGGGAGTGGGGGATGAAGCCAGTGCAGGGGCTGTCAGGAACGAGCTGAAGGACAAAAAGCGGTGTTTGAGTTTAATCTGGAGGCCATGGGGACCCAGGGGAGGACTTTAGGGAGGCGGACAAGGAGAAATTTGAGGCCATTCTGGCTGCCAAGAAGTGGGTGGGCAGGAGGCTGCAGGCAGGTGTCCTACTTGGAGGGGGACTTGCTGTAACCCAGCAAGCACGAAGATGGAAAACAGAGACGGAATCTGCTGGGAGAATCAAGGGCTTCCCAAAGGACGGGAGTCCTGTTCCAGGTATCCCACCCTCCAGCCTGGTGAGCAGGAGGAGGGCTGCTTCTCCAAATCTCAGTGTGCCACCTGTGAGAAAGGCCCAGCATGAGGATACCAGGCACCAGTCATACAAGGAACTGGGCACAGCCCCTGGCATCCACATGCTTTCGATGGAATACAGTGGTGGTGGTGATCCCAAATCATAACATTTGGGATTCAAATGTCCACATTTACATGAATGCCTAAATCACGGTGGCTCTGAGGCCCCAGCCACATTCCCAGGAGGAACTGCTTTCTTTCCTGTGGTGTCCCCACTAATGGCCTCCAGGACTCCCGGGGTCCACACGGGTTCAAGGATCCAGACTGCTGCTGGGGGCTGTGAAAGCTCAGATTCCTTCCTGAGGCCCGGGCAGTTACCCTCCATGGCCACCCCACAACCTGCTGGCGGGTCCCACTGGGCCATCTCCAGTACATAGCTGCCATGTGCAGTGTGGTGGCCCCATTCTCTCAGGAGCCCCCGTAGGACCTCCCAGCTCCAACTCCTCTCCAGAACTGAAGGTGGGTATTTCCTCTCTCAGCTGCCTGTTGCTGGGGCCCCCAGGACTCCTCCCTCTGCACCAGGGTACCTGGGCCCATGCCCCCAACCCCAGCCTTCGAAGATCAGAGGGCCCTGCTTCCGGGGGGTTCCAATAGGCCTCAGGGTCAAAGAGCGGGCAGCCAGCCCGACTTGCTTGGGTGAAGGCAAGGCCTCTCTTCCCCCACTGCACAAGGCTCACCACCTCACAACAGCCCCCACAATGGGCACGACAGGAACCTGTGCCTCCATGGTCACTACTGGCACAAGGAGACAGCTGGCCATGCCATCTCGCTGCACCTCAGCACGGCACGTCCCCACAGCAGAAGGCAGAAGCCATGCCCAGGCAGTTCTGGGAACAGGTGCAGGAGGATTCTCATGGTGCAGCTCTGAGAGCCAGTGGCCTCTGCACAGAGGACTCCTGGCTAGCATGGAGCATCCCAAGGGGTGGGCTGTCCTTGGCCAGCAGGGCCCCAGCACAAGGGCCAGAGGCAAAGTCCCAGGGCCTCTGAGACAAGAGCAACTGGTTGGCCAACAGGCCCATGGGGGCTGCTGCCTTGATCCCAGTTTCACCCAGCGCCAGGTGCCCCAGCATCCAGACAGGCAGTTGTGATGGTGGGCCCGGTATGGTTGGTGGCAAGGGATGCCGTGCTCCGTCAGGCCTCCCAGAAAGGAGGCTGTGGCAGGCCATCGAGGGCCACAACTGAAAGGCACACAGCGTGGTGCCATTGGGCCAGGCTCTCTGCTTGGAGGCCGAGGGCAGGGAGTGGAGCACGGTGACAGTGACAATCACAGAAAGAGCCAGAGCCAGCAGAGTGAGGTATAAAAATCTGTATTTATATTACAATGACATAAGGACACAGCGTGGCCCACAAGGTGGACAGCTGGGCGGGGGCCCCTTTCCCTCTCCAGAACACGCCCCCTCACTGGCACCAGGCCCTCGTGTGGCCCCCAACTCTGGCACGGAACCTGTCCTAGTGCCCGACGTGGGCCTGGGGCCACCTTGCTGGCCCAGGGTCAGGGTCCGCTGTGCAGGCAGTGGGGAGAGGATCCCAGGTTCACTGACAGACGGAGGCAGGGCACAGGGGAACCCGCCTCACCCTTCGGATGGCATGGGCCGGGGCAGACAGGAGATCAGGGCCCCCAGAGCCAAAGGCTGGAGCAGGGCTCCACTGGCCAGGGTCGCAGGCCCAAGCACTGTGCCCCTAAGATGGGGTCTGCAGAGGCGAAGCTTTGCTGCGGCTTCTCCCACTCTGTGAGGATGGCGGGGCCCTGGCATGTGGTTTGCGGGGGCTGCCTCCCAGTAAGGCTGGGGACCCAGCCCTTGGCCTAGGTGCTCAGCGGCCGAGAGCACCAGTGTGGGCTGGGAGGGCACAAGCAGAGACTCGGGTATCCCAGGGCTGTTCTGCTCTCGTCTGCTCTCTATAGACACGGTGATAGCCTCTTGGTCCCTGGAGCCACCAGGGATGGCAACCTAGGCCCCTGGCAGTGAGCTGTGGGAGGTCTGAGCATGTGGGTGACTCCTAGCACCAGCCCCCACCCAGTGGGCCACCCCTCACCCACCTGCTGGTGGCAGGGAGGGGCAGCTGAACAGCACCCCGGTGGCTGTGAGACTGCCTCCCAGTCCACATGGGAACCACAGCCTGAAAAGCCATGGGCTGAGCTGCCGGGAGGGTTGGCTGAGGGGCCACCGCTGGTCACTGGTGGATTCTGCTGGTCAGAGATGACAGCAGAAGCCCCCCGGCCGCCCCAGGCACCAGACGGTGGGGCAGGGAGCTGGTGCTTCAGGAATTCAGGGCAGGGATGCAACCACCTCAGTGCCCTGGAGTGCTGGCTTGGAAAGCAAGCTCTTAAACATGGCCCGCCTTGCTCAGAGGTGCAGGGGTGTTTGAAATGAAGGCTGGGGGGACAGCTCAGGCAGGCAGGGGAAGCTTTCTGGGCACCAGTGGGCTTGGAAGAAGCTGCAGACAGGCTTCCTCACCGCCACCCGCAGGGCGTGTGGATGGCCCTCGGCTCCAGGCAACCCGCCCCCTACAGCCTGTAGGGCAGGTTCTGTGCCAGAGCTGTTTCCAGGGACCCCTTTCTGCCACAACAGTCCCCCCACCCTGGGGCATCTGTGCATATGACTGAAAATAGACATGAATTTTCCCCGCGATACGGAAATTGGTAAAGATGCAGCAGAGGCGTGCTGAGGGCCGGCCCCACCAGGGACAGAGACTACAGGAAGGAAAGGCTGGGGCAAGCCTCCCGGTGCCAGGCCTGCACCACCGCTGAGCACAGTCCTCACTGGCTGCCAGCGTCTGAAACCTGGCGCTCTCGCCTAGGCCAGGAAGTGGGGGTCTCGAGGCAGGTGAAGGCGAGAATCCGCCTCTTTAGGGAGCAAGCAGGCCCCTGCCAGCCACTGAGGAAGGCAACACTAGGGGTCAGGTCACAGCCCCTCTGTGCCACCCCCAGGAAGCCCTGGCTGGCAGGAGGGGCTGCCCACAGGGGATGGGAGGATGGCACTGGCTGGGCAGGCCTGGGGCACCCTGAGCCATGAGGGACATGCTGGTGGGAAGGGCAAGGCCAGACACAAGACACAAGGCACACTTTGACAACATGACAGAGGGACAGGTCCCTGAGACGCTGGGTGGCTCCCACCCCTCGGCAAACAAGGACACAACAACGGCTAGGAAAATAGAGTACAAAAATCTGGTTCCGGGAACAGGCAGCACACGGACACCCCTGGCTGAGTCTTCACGCTTTCTTCTTTTTAAAAATGCTTCTGTTTTTTGGGAAAGCCTCTCTGCCAGCTGAGGCTGCTGCAGCAGAGCTCATAAGGACCCATTTCCTAAGGAGGCTCCGGAGCCCTCACCGGGCTGCGGGGCAGTGCAGCATTTTACTTTTTTGCTTTTTGTTTAAAAAAGGGAGATGAAAAAGCCCCCGAGGACCCAGCGGCTGCAACTCCAGCTCACCCCAGCCCCAGCCAGGGAGAGAAGTCCCTCTCCTGTGCACAGGCACGACTGCTGGGTGGGCGCGGGTCAGCCGGAGCTGGAGGGGAAGCGGGCACAGCCCAGGGGCTGCTGTTTGCCAGATGACCCCTGAAGGCCATCATCCCCAGAACATGTGACCTCGGGGCGCCCAGGTGTGTCTGTGTATGTGAGCGTGTACACAGGTGCGTGTGCCTAGGTGCGTGCGTGTGCGTGTCTGACAGTCCTACCGGAGCAGATGCTGCCCAGCAGGGAGAGCCCAGCCCTTGGCCCTGACACCTTCGAGGTGGGAAGGACCCTGACCACCCACCTGCCCCAGGCGCTCACCCAAGTCCCGCCCTTCATGGATCCCTTGTCCACGCCAGGAGCCTACGTGGACTGACAGGGAGGTGAACAGACAGACGGACGGACAGCCAGCCTTGCCTTCCTTACTTCTCAGTCCACTCCTTTCTCCTGGGGTCCAGGGTTGGGGGTCTGAGCTCCCTGTGGTGGTCATTAAGCTTCCTCACACGGTGCCCGCCGAGGTTTGCAGCAATGACATTTAATACTTCTGGAATGATTAGGAATCTGAGAACAGACCGTGGGCGGCTATGCTGACCAGGGCTCCGGGCGTGGGAGCTGGGCCCTGCCTCCTTGCAGGGGACCCTGCCCAGCTGGGAGGGGCAGGTGGCTCCGCAGGCCCTGACCAGCAAGCGGACAGTGCCAGGCAGCCCAGGCGGCAGTTGGAGCTTCCAGAATGGCACAGCAGTGGGCCTGTGGAGAGGCTGGCGTCAACTGAAGGAGAACTGGAGGGCTGACACGCGTGGCTGGCGGGCAGGCAGGCCAAGCAGCAGAGGGCACAGGCCTACGAGAGGGCGGGGCGGCCCAGCCGCCGGCAGTGGGGCCCGAAGCCGCTGTCGCTGCTGCTGCCACTCTGCAGGCTGTAGTGGTCGTCTGCGTCACTGCTGCTGCCAACACTGTCCAGCTCACCAGGGCCAAACTCCATGCCCTCTATGTCCACCTCTGGAGAGAACAGAGCGGGGATGGGGTCAGACCACGTGGTGGGTACCGGCCCATCTCTCTCTTTTCTGGAAACGGAAGCTCTGGGCAGAGGGGCAGAAGTACAGAGGGTGTAGTCTGGGAAGGAGGGCAGCAGATGCCAGGAGGGCTCTGACTAAGAACCCAGCCTCAGAAGCACCAGCCCTCCGTGGTCGCCTCGGCCTCTGCCTCCCACCCTCCCCATCCAGTCCCTCTGCACTCGGACGGTGATGCACACACACACGACTACAGCAGGGAGCTGGGAGGGGCCTCCTTTCCACCCAGGGAGCTGTGCCACTGCGTGCCCAGAGGCCCCGGCGAGGCTGCCCCACGCCCCACCTTGCTCTGAGTCGTCTGTGGAGACAGCAGAGCCCGTGCTATCCGTGCGCACACGCTCCACGCTCTGCACCGACAGCTGCTCCAGGCGCCGTTTCAGAAAGCGATGCTCCTGCTGCAGCTGCTCCTTGATGCTCAGTGCCCGGCGGTCCTGCTCCTCCAGTTTCTGGGGGTGAGGGGGGCTGTGAGCCCACAGCAAGAAGGGGTGTCCCCCACCCCTGCAAGGTGCCCCCTCCCTAACAAGGCCTAGCCAGGCTAAGGGCTATAGGGTGCCCAGTCTCCACCAGTCCCACAGCCTGACATGGGTCCCTCCCTGCCCCAGCCAGGTGGTCACAGTCAGGTGACACCTCCTGGCCCTGTGGTTTCCATCTAGGCCCAGCTCTAAAGCCCGCAAACACCAGGCAGCCTTGGCCAAGCCGAGCCATGTGTGGCCGTGACACCCTGGTCAGTCCATACGACTTGACCTTTGGCTGGGCCGAGCCATGTGTGGCCGTGACACCCTGG